AGTAGTAGTAGTAGTAGTCGTAGTAGTATTAGTAGTAGTAGTAGTAGTAGTAGTAGTAGTAGTAGTAGTAGTAGTAGTAGTAGTAGTAGTAGTAGTAGTAGTAGTAGTAGTAGTATTAGCAGGAGTAGCAGTTGTAGTCGCCGTCGTGGTCGTTGCCGCTGCCGTAGGCGTAACAATAGCACTACGATTGATGGTAACAGTCGTAGACGTAGTAGTAGTGGTAGTAACAAGAGTAATAGAAGCCGTAAGAATGCCAGTTCGAGTATGATCGGGCAAGCAACCGCGCTGAAGTTCGAAGTAGTGGTAGTCGTAGCTGCGGTGCCGGTAAAAGTCTTGGGCGCAGATGCTGTAGTTCTTGAGTGCGTTAAGGCAACTCAGCAGGAGTAGTAGCAGTGGTGGCAATAGCTGTCCTTACCGTCGCGGCCGTGGTAACAAGTGCACTGCGAGTAGTAGTAGTAGTAGTAGTAGTAGTAGTAGTAGTAGTAGTAGTAGTAGTAGTAGTAGTAGTAGTAGTAGTAGTAGTAGTAGTGGTAGTCGTAGCAGTAGTAGTAGTAGTAGTAGTAGTAGTAGTTGTAGTAGTAGTCGTAGTACTAGTAGTAATAGTAGTAGTAGTAGTAATAGTAGTAGTAGTAGTAGTAGTAGTAGTAGTAGTAGTAGTAGTAGTAGTAGTAGTAGTAGTAGTAGTAGTAGTAGTAGTAGTAGTAGTAGTAGTAGTAGTAGTAGTAGTAGTAGTAGTAGTAGTAGTAGTAGTAGTAGTAGTAGTAGTAGTAGTAGTAACCGTATTACTGATACTAGCAGTAGTGGTAGTGAAGATAAGATGTGGGGGGGATTACAATAGCAGAAAAGTCATCTAAGAAGTGGTAATAGTAGTGGCGGTAATAGTAAAGTCGTAGTAGAAATGGTAGTGGTAATGGTAATCGTCGTAATAGTAGCCGCCGTCAGAGTAGCTGCAGTCGTAGTGTTGGTACTCGTCGTAGTAGCAGGAGTAACAATAGTCGTAGTAGTAGTAATAGGAGTAGTAGTAGTAGTAGTAGTAGTAGTAGTAGTAGTAGTAGTAGTAGTAGTAGTAGTAGTAGTAGTAGTAATAGTAGTAGTAGTAGTAGTAGTAGTAGTAGTAGTAGTAGTAGTAGTAGTAGTAGTAGTAGTAGTAGTAGTAGTAGTACCAGTGGTAGTAATAGTGGTAGCAATCGTAGAAAAGCTGTATGATAAGAACTGATACGAATAGTACTTCTACTAATACAACTGCGGTCACTAGTTCTTCTTCTTCTTCCCCACATGTTTCGTGGGGTTATGGTTTTCTTCCCTGCCGCGCCGCCCGCGTCTCACACCTCCCCCCTCCCCTTCTCCTTCTCGCACAGCACAGCACAGCACAGCACGGCACGGCACGGCACGGCACAGCACAGCTCACCGCACAGCAGCACAGTACAGCACAACACAACACAGCATACCACACAAGGCATTCCTTCGACGCCACAGGGGGTGGGGGTGCGCAGAGGGTGGTCCTTCAGCGCGGCCTCGCCTCTATCCGTGACACGCTCGCAGATCGTGCCAGGCGTGGCACTTTCTCGACACCACAGGGGGTGCGCAGAGGGTGGTCCCTCAGCGCTGCCTCTCTCCGTGACACGCTCGCAGATCGTGGCAGGAGTGGCATTTTCTCGAAGGCGCCGGGGGTGCGCAGAGGGTGGTCCCACAGCGCGGCCTCTATCCGTGACACGCTCGCAGATCGTGGCAGGAGTGGCACTGTTTCGACACCACAGGGGGTGCGCAGAGGGTGGTCCTTCAGCGCGGCCTGTATCCGTGACACGCTCGCAAATCGTGGCAGGAGTGGCACTTTCTCGACGCCACAGGGGATGCGCAATGGGTGGTCCCTCAGCGCGGCCTGTATCCGTGACACGATCGCAGATCGTGGCAGGAGTGGCACTTTCTCGACACCACAGGGGGTGTGCAGAGGGTGGTCCCTCAGCGCGGCCCCGCCTCTATCCGTGACACGCTCGCAGATCGTGGCAGGAGTGGCATTTTCTCGACACCACAGGGGGTGCGCAGAGGGTGGTCCCTCAGCGCGGCCTCTATCCGTGACACGCTCGCAGATCGTGGCAGGAGTGGCACTTTCTCGACACCACAGGGGGTGCGCAGAGGGTGGTCCCTCAGCGCGGCCTCTATCCGTGACACGCTCGCAGATCGTGGCAGGAGTGGCACTTTCTCGACGCCACAGGGGGTGCGCAGAGGGTGGTCCCTCAGCGCGGCCTCTATCCGTGACACGCTCGCAGATCGTGGCAGGAGTGGCATTTTCTCGACACCACAGGGGGTGCGCAGAGGGTGGTCCCTCAGCGCGGCCTCTATCCGTGACACGCTCGCAGATCGTGGCAGGAGTGGCACTTTCTCGACACCACAGGGGGTGCGCAGAGGGTGGTCCCTCAGCGCGGCCTCTATCCGTGACACGCTCGCAGATCGTGGCAGGAGTGGCACTGTCTCGACACCACAGGGGGTGCGCAGAGGGTGGTGGTCCCTCAGCGCGGCCTGTATCCGTGACACGCTCGCTGATCGTGGCATGAGTGGCACTTGCTCGACACCACAGGGGGTGCGCAGAGGGTGGTCCCTCAGCGCGGCCTCTATCCGTGACACGCTCGCAGATCTTGGCAGGAGTGGCACTTTCTCGACACCACAGGAGGTGCGCAGAGGGTGGTCCCTCAGCGCGGCCGCTATGCACGACGGTCGTCCAGGGCATAGCAGGCGTGGCACTTTCTCGACACCATAGAGGGTGCGCAGGGGGTGGTCCCTCACCGCGGCTGCTATGCACGACGGTCGTCCAGGGCATAGCAGGCGCGGCATTTTCTCGACACCATAGAGGCTGCGCAGGGGGTGGTCCCTCACCGCGGCCGCTGGCTGGCTCGAATCTGTCCTCGACGGAGGATAGAAGGCTAGGAAGAGGGAGGAGGTTCAAGCAATATGGCGTTGGATGACACATAGGGGAACATTCGCGACGAGGGCTGAGAACGCAGAATTGCACATATATTATAAACTTAAGCAAACACTCGAGAGTTAAGTTAAGTATGTGGGGTTCCTCGGTAGCGTAATACTCCTGTGTATTACTTTTACGACTACTCCGACAGCTACGATGACTAATACCACGACGACTACTACTACTACTACTACTACTACTACTACTACTACTACTACTACTACTACAACTACTACTACTACTACTACTACTACTACTACTACTACTACTACTACTACTACTACTACTACTACTACTACTACTACTACTACTACTACTACTACTACTACTGCTACTACACTACTACTACTACTACTACTACTACTACTACTAGTAGTAGTAGTAGTAGTAGTAGTAGTAGTAGTAGTAGTAGTAGTAGTAGTAGTAGTAGTAGTAGTAGTAGTAGTAGTAGTAGTAGTAGTAGTAGTAGTAGTAGTAGTAGTAGTAGTAGTAGTAGTAGTAGTAGTAGTAGTAGTAGTAGTAGTAGTAGTAGTAGTAGTAGTAGTAGTAGTAACAGTAGTAGCCGTAATAGTAGTAGTCGTCGTCGTCGTGGTAGTGGTAGTGGTGGTAATAGTACGAGCAGTAGTAGCAGTAGTAATAGTAGTCGTAGTAAACATGGTAATAGCAGCAGTAGCAGTAGTAGTAACAGTAGTAGTCGTCGTAATCGCGATGGTGATAATAGTAATCGTGGTAGTCCGCAAGAGCCCGCATGAGTCCCCCGGATTCCTCGGGATTCCTCGGGAGTCTTCAATAGTCCTCAGGAGTCCGAAGGAGTCCTGAGGAGATCTCAGGAGTGAAGCTCTTCAGAAACTCTGCAGAGAAGCTTTCCGCAGCTCTCTTCAAAAACTGTTGTTTTTTCGTGAGCTCTTGGGGGGCATTTCAGAAGCTCTCCTCGCGGTTGTACTCTGGTGTTCCCCATCGAAAAAAATATGGACATCCTCCAGGTTGCGATCAGTCCGTTTCCAATGGTCGTCATCGGCCAGAAATGATCCGTGAATGGTCCGAAGTGGTCGGAATCGGTCACATGCTGGCCTCGTGGGCGCTCGTGGGCGCCCCCTGGGCCGATCGCATAGCTTTGCGCAACATAGGCCACACCGCATACCCGGCATATCAGAATTAGCGCACACGACATAGCTCACGCCCCACATGTCACACCGCACAGCTTACACACCATCGCCCACCCCACAAGGCGCACACAACAGAGCTAACACCACATAGCTCACACCACCCAGCTTCCACAACGTACCTCACGCTACAAAACTCGACCGGCATCGCGTTCACATCCACGTGCAAGAATTTCCAGTTTGGGCCCACGCTTGCTAACATCCCCTGCTGGCGTATTATTACACACAGTCCGCTCGCCTTCTCCCTTTTCAGCGACTAAAAGCGGCGGGACCCATCATACCCACCAGTGCCTCCCAAGAGGCTCCCAAGAAGCCAAGAGCCAACGGCAACAAGGAAAGGACAGGGGAGAAAGGAACAAGGAGGCGGAGAAAGAGCAGGCGGCAGCCCTCGCGGGCTGTTCCCGTGGGCCGCAGCCCCGTGGACGAGGAACGCTTTCTCCGCGGATGCCCCGCGCGGAACGTGCCCAAGCGACCATGCATCCACGGGATCGCGCCTCAGAATCCAGACCGCGACAGCGTGGATGTGGATACGGTGGCCGCCGGCGGGCAGCACGGCGGCGAGAAGAAGAGAGAGGACTCCGCCAAGCCGGCGGGGGTGCCGCAGCACGCAGGAGGAGCAAGACAGCGACGCGAGGCGGAGAGACCAGCCAGCGAGGCGGGGAGGCGACGATTGGTCGGCTGAAAGGCATCGAGAAGGGGGGGGGATCGGCTTGGGGGTGGGGCACAACCGAACTCGGCGATGCATCGCCGATGGATCGGCGATGGGCCCCCGACAGAGGAACCAGGCATTCCCGGGCGGGGCGGGCGGTCGGGCCCCTACCAGCGGTGAGTGGGCAATTGGAGGTCGACGCATCCACCCCCGAGCCCGGGTCATGTCCTCGTCCTTCCACAGGCGGCTTTTGGACGAACGCAAAAATACCCCAAGAATGCTCGAACATAGCAAGAAATGTAGGGATACAAACTCTACACACCGATGCTTTTTCCGACCCTGCGCTGAATGAAGTTCGCACAGGAACGCTGATCCTGGTGTATACGGGATCCTGGTGTATACATGTTTCGTCATTTCCCTTGGAAAACGGGGGACAAGTATACGCCACACCACCCCGACGTCGTCCCCGACCCTCAAAAAGTCTTGGGATTGAAAAAAGAACCCGCCACTGGTAATGTATATGTTGCAGTTTCAAAAAAAACTAAAAATAGTCCCTAGACTATATTTGACTATTTTTCAATGATCCTCCTGTAGAGGGACGTGCCCGACTTGACCTTTCCGCCATCCACGCTTACCCTGAACAATGCCACGCAAGCGCTGGAGGCGAGGTGCGTCGGAGGAGGGAGAACTCAGGGCATCGCGCGAAGTGGCAGCTCCGCCGGGAGCCAAACTGTCGCACGGCCCAGCCGGACAGCTGGTATCGCACCGACGGCCACCCAGATGCAGTGCTGGCTGCAGGCATGGCGCCCAGAGGCGAACGTCAGCAGCACGGGAAAACGTGGCGCTATCGAGAAGCCACTCTGGCTGGTCCCCCAGCTGGTCCATCGGTCGGCTCGCTGGTCGCTCTCCCCGGCTCACCACGGCCCGAAGAAGCCGTTGCCGTTCGCGAGCACCGAGCCGAAGAAGAGGATGGTCATGATGACAATGTACGTGCCGCTGTTCGCGGGGTCCAGGCCGAAGTCGCCAACGGGCGGTGGCGGGGGCGTGGTCGTCACTGGCTCAAAATTGAAGAAGTGCATCTCCACGGCGGGGGCGCGCTGCCCGGTCCGGAGGCCCGCCAGGGCCGGGGACGAGGCGCCGACAAAAGACAGCACGGCGGAGCCAACCGACAGAGCGGCGACGGCGGCGACAGCGCATGCGATCAGCAGGGACGCGGAGCGGGCCATTTCTCGGCGGCGAGCGAGGGGGGGGGAGTGAGAAGGAGAAGGCCTTCTCAAAAGGCGGCGGGACTTCTCAGAAGCCCTCGCGCCATCTGAGAAGTTTTCTGTCTTCGGAGAAGGCTTAGAAAACTTCTCAGAAGGCTGGGGGACTTCCGAGCCTTCTGAGAAGGCATGTTCCTTCTCACTTCCCCCCCGGACTCGCCGCCGAATTTCGCCGAAAGCGTGGGGCAAAGCTGCAGTGAGACCTCTTGGGAAAACGATTCCGCTGAGATAGCTTGGGCCAAAATGGAAATGGATATGGGCACGGCCTAGCTGGACAGCCTGCAGCAGGTCCATAGACTGAAGGCTGGATGAGGCGAGCGGGGACACAACGGGGGGTGCTGCGGAAGATCTGCGGAAGTGTGATCTCCATAAGGTGTCGAGCGCGTCGGTGGCGCGTGCGGTGTACAGGACGGAAGGTGGATCTCGAGGACACATCATGGGAGTCCCTGCATTTACCAGCATTGTCCCAGCATGCAGCTGCCAATCACTCCCCCGGCTGGCGCCATCGCCAGCCGTGCGCCGAACCCGCGGCCAGGCTACAGTCACGAAGCCTGTGAGCCAGCGTTCAATCGCACAAGACCGAGCTCCCTGTGAGGCCGAGCCTCCCGTCTGGCCTGTGCTCGTCAAAAGCGGGAGCCCGTGTACCACCACATCGAGGCAATGTGCTACTCAGACCAGGGGAAGGCGAGGCGGGGGGGCGGGGGGCTCAGTGGTGAGGCTGCCACAGGGAGGAAGGGGGGGGGGAGAGGTCCCATAGATGAAAGGCAAGTCGGCGATTCACCTCAGGCGCCCAAACCCAGTGCCCCTTCGCTCGCAGCAGCCAACTCCCTGGCAAGCCAACTGAGATCTCGGGATCCGTTGTGAACCAGTGCCAAAGGGGGCACCTGAGACTGGTCCCTCACGCGACCTGGTTCCCACGGGAAGCTAGCCAAGTAGGAGGACCTAGCATTAGGTCGGGCGTGTCCCCCCACAGGCGGACGAAACACTAAAAATAGTCAAATACACCAAAAGTGCTCAAACATACTCAAAGCATCGTCCCCCGACTATTTTCTTACTATTTGGGGATCTTCCTCCTGTAGAGGGGCACGCCCGACGTGAAGCCAGCCGAGGAGGACCCAGCACGGACCGAGAGGCCGGCACAGGACCCCGCACTCGACAGACGGCCTCGCGGATGTCACGTGCTCTGGGGCCCGGCGTTCCCCGAGAGGCTGCCGGCAGAGGAGCCGGCCCAGGACACGAGCGCCGACGAGGAGGGCCAGCGCGAGGGCGAGGCGGAAGGAGGGGGTTTTGTTCTGCCTGTTTTTGAAACTTCCTCCTGCACAGTCGGGGCGTTGACCTGAGGAACGATACAAAAGGACCGAGGCCCCTTTTTTCCCATGAGCTCAACTCCGATTCTCCACAGAAAACCTCAGGAAAACCCAAGGGCACTGCAAAACAACTAAGGAACACGGAGCCCCTCCCAAACGAAAAGGGGGAGTTGTTGCCTGTTGTTTGAAAATCCCCCCCGTAGCAAGGCTGAACCCAAACGCTGTCTTCGTTTTCGTTCTGTCTTCGTTCTCCCTCGCCTTTGTCCCGAAATCGCCACGAAATCGCCACAAACACCGTTTAGGTTTAAGTCGGGCGTGTCCCCCTACAGGGGGCGTTTTGGGCGAAAGTAAAAAAAAAATACCCAACAAATGCTCAAAAATTGCCAAAAATACTCAAAAGAGTCCCCATACTATTTTTTGTCTATTTTTGCATATTCCTCCTGTAGAGGGACGGGCCCGTCTTCAGTTTAGGCCAAGCCCTGCCCTGCTCGGGCGTTGGCAGAACTGGGACTAGTGGGCCTGATTCAGTGATGTGTGCCGGGGGACGCCCCCCCCGCCCCATTCCACTGACCGGAATTGCCGTCACCCGAAAAAACACCAGTTACGGCAAACCTGGTTTAGCGATTCTGGCAAATTTAGAGGCTCCGGGGCGTTACAGTGCGGGCGCGGCCGCAAGAAACCCTCGCAAGAAACCCAACCCTGAGAACCCGTGCACGAGGTGCACATGAGGGGAAACCCGGAGCACCCTGAACGCAGCAGCTCCTTCAACGGCTGCGGGAAGTCACCGCGCAGCGCGAGGATACCCTGACGAAAAGCATAGGGTTTCTTGATGCGCGCCCCCACTGTCACCGGGTCCCCTCACCTGGGGTCCTGGCTATGCCCGACCTGCAGAGGGACGGGCGCCCGCCTCGGAGCCGGCTGGCGAGGGGGCAGCCGGAGCGAGCGCCGGGGGGCGCTGCGCTGCGCTGCCCCGCCGCCCCCCTTTCTCGACGTGCAGCCGGCCGGCGGTGAGCTCTCCCCGACGACGACGACGACGACGCCGCCGCCGCCGCCGACGACGCCGCCGCCGCCGCCGACGACGACGACGATGACGACGACGACGACGACGACGACGACGACGACGACGACGACGACGACGACGACGACACACAGACAAGGACAGAGACGAGGCGAAAGGCAAAGGCAGAGAGAGAGAGAGAAGGCGACGACGGCAAAGACGACAAGGACGGCAAAGACGGCAAAGACGGCAAAGACGACGACGACGACGACCACGACGACCACCACCACGGCGACCGCGGCGACGACGACGACGACGACGACGGCGACCACGGCGCAGACGCCAAAGACGACGACGACGACGACGCCCCTCCCCACCGAGGTCGAGGAGCGACCACTGGCGGAAGCGCCACGCGCCCGAGCCGCTCCGGCGCAGGCCGCCGAGGACAATCCTGGGGTCGCGCGCGATCGCGCGCGGCTCCGCGACGGGGCCCGGGGGCGAGGGCGCGCGCCGCTGCGGCAGGAGAGCTGGGTCCCAGGCTCCTCCTCCTCCTCCTCCTCCTCCTCCTCCTCCTCCTCCTCCCTCCTCCTCCTCCTCCTCGTCCTCGTCCTCCTCCTCCTCCTCCTCCTCCTCCTTCCTCCTCCTCTTCCTCCTCCTCGTCCTCCTCCTCCTCCTCCTGGGGGAGGGACCCCTGGGGGGAGAGGCGGCGGGGGGGGGGAGGAGGGGAGGGGATCCTGCGGGGCTCGGCGGCTCGAGGATCGAGCTTCGGGCTGCCTGACGTGGTTTTTCTGCTGCCGGGGTGGGTCCGGGGGCCTCCCCCTTTCTTTTGAGTATTGAGCAGGGACCGACCGTCCCGGCATTCCTATAGTCCTACCACGAAATGTTCTTAGAACCCAAGCATGTTCTAAGAACAAACCCAATGTTCTTAGAACACAAACCCGATGTGGTAAAACAAGACAGACTCCGCCAGAAATGTTCTAAGAACATTTCGTGGGAACCACAAAAAAAGGTCTTAGAACATTGTTTGGTGGGGCTATAGGCGAGCCGGGACGCTTCGCCACTGCTCGACTTTTCTGAGCATCGTTGGAACCGATCCCCATGCCCAGCGGCGTGACCTGGGCCCCACTGGCCGACTTGCCCCCCCCAGATGGGGATGTGGGCCGCTCCCTTCGGGCTTCGAGGGGTGTGTTTCCAACCGGGGTGGTAATCTGGTGGGGCTCTCGAAGGGAGCGGGGATGGGGATGGGGATCGGTGAGATACCGACCTTCCCACCCCCTCCCCGAGCCCACCTCGGCGTGCCGGCTGCCCAACGGGCCCGAGCTCGAGCCCCACGCGGCAGTCTTCCCTCCGTGCGGCGCTGCTCGGTCGGCTGCCGAGCGGGCCGCGGCCGAGCCGCCGTCTAGGCACGCGATATGCTCGGTGGGGCTCTCCCTGCGCCTCGGGCCTCGGGGCTTGTTTCATGTCGGGCGTGTCCCCCTACAGGGGGATTATCGACGAAAAATAGAAATACCCCAGGAATACTCCAAAAAGGTCAAAAAATCTTAAAAAATACTTCCCAGACTATTTTGGGAGTTTTTGTTTTACGATTTGGGGGATATTTGGTATTTTTCGTCGAAAATCCCCCTGTAGGGGGATTTTCGCCCGACATAAGGCTTGTTCAGAGACGGCGCACCTCGACCCTCCAGGCCCAAGCTGGATCGAGCCGCGAGACCGGGTCGCATCGGCAACGCATCGGCGGGGACCGCCGGCGCACCGCCCATGCCTGGGATCGAGATCGGACCGCCGCGCTCGGCTCGGACTGGCCCTGGCCGATGCTGGCGAACTGCCTCGGATCGACCAGGATCGGAATCGCGGCCCCAGCCAGCGAATCGAACCGCATCGAATCGGATCGCACAGGCGGCCCTGTCCTCCCCCGTGCCCTGTCGAATCTGCCGCCTGGCCCTGCGGGCTGACCGCCTGGGGGGAGTCCACCGGCCCGCCTGCCTGCAGGCGGCCCGGAAGGCGCGCCCTGAGCTCCTCACCAGCCTCCTCCTCCTCCTCCTCCTCCTCCTCCTCCTCCTCCTCCTCCTCCTGCAGCTCACTCCGACCCATAATATTGACAAGCCCACAGGCGATGACAATCTGAGGGAGGGGCCCTCAGACACCGAGGGAATCCTCAAGTTCGGCGTCGAGATGAGGCGATGCCGACCATAGGGATACGAATATGCTCCAGGCTGGCAATGCGAGCTCGAAGTCATTCCGTGCCAATACGCCGTTTGGGTGCGGCTTCGTGTGTGGTGTGGTGTGGTGTGGTGTGGTGTGGTGTGGTGTGGTGTGGTGTGGTGTGGTGTGGTGTGGTGTGGTGTGGTGTGGTGTGGTGTGGTGTGGTGTGGTGTGGTGTGGTGTGGTGTGGTGTGGTGTGGTGTGGTGTGGTGTGGTGTGGTGTGGTGTGGTGTGGTGTGGTGTGGTGGTGTGGTGTGGCGTGGCGTGGCGTGGCGTGGCGTGGCGTGGCGTGGCGTGGCGTGATGTGTTGGCGTGTGTGGTGTGTTGTGTGTGTATGTGCGTGTGTGTGTGTGTGTGTGGTTGTGTGTCTGTCTGTCTGTCTGTCTGTCTGTGTGTCTGTCTGTCGGTCTGTCTGTCGGTCTGTCTGTCTGTCTGTCTGTCTGTCTGTCTGTCTGTCTGTCTGTCTGTCTGTCTGTCTGTCTGTCTGTCTGTCTTTCTGTCTCTTTGTCTGTCTGTCTGTCTGTCTTTCTGTCTCTTTGTCTGTCTGTCTGTCTGCCTGTGTGTGCGTGTGTGTGTGTGTGCGTGAGCGTGTGCGTGTGTGTGTGTGTGGTGTGTGTATGCTGCGTGTTGTGTGTTGTGTGCGTGTGGTATGTGTGATGTGTGTATCCTTTCTTTATTGGGGCAAGACGTCTCACCCATACATTTCTTCCACTGCGTGCTCCTGCACATCCCTGATCAGGGCAACTCGACTCGGCATCGTGTATGGATGGGCTGGTAGTGTTACGCGAAGCGTCGACAAAAAGGCAAGTTCAACAACTGCGTCTCGATAAGTTGCCAATGTCGCACGCGCAGAGGTCCACAATCATATCACTATTAGGTCGCGCGTCACATAATACCACCGATGCCAGGTCAGACTCACAAGGCACGACGCCCGACCATACCATATTCGAACACACGCGCCCAGACGATACACGATCGCACCAGGCAACACCGTTGAGCGTGAGACCACGCACAAAGTCCGGGAGACACTGGCGGCTGAAGGGGGTGATGAGGACAGGTGAAGCGTCTAGAATTGACCTCCCCATCGGGGGTTCTACGAGATGGATTTTGGCACATTCGCAGGTACACGCGCTACCACGGCCCTGCTGAAGATGGAAGACCGCATGCTGCCACGGAGCTCAAGACCGCACTTGGCCTTTCCAAATTTGAAGCATCATTGCCGTATACAAGTTGGCGCACGTGCTGCATCACCCAACCTCAACGGTATTACATGCAGATGGTGACCTCACTGACTCGGATAAGTCTCGCAAGGTTGCACCCGCCTGCTGCAACCTCTCCAGTCGCGCGGTGCTCTTCACAGCTAGGTCGTCTAGCAGGCCTTCAGCGAACGCGAACTTGGAAGTCTCAAGCAATCTCTCATGCTCACCTTCCTGGTCGCGAGCACCCGAACGAGTACAAGAGTCAACCGCCGCGCAGTCACCCTGCGGTTGAACGCCATGGGCAGGCTCGGCTTCCCCTTGCTGGACGCCCAGACTACTGACCATCTGGGTCAGCTCCTTGGAAGCACACTTCCCCATCCAGGCCGAACCAAGGCTAACTGCCGATCCCGACCCAGCTGGCCCGAACCGTCCCAAAGCTCGGGTCGGGCGAAAGGGGGGGATAGCAAAGGGGGGGATTGAGAATCAGCTCACGTAGCTGATTTTCCCGGCGCCTCCCGGCGCCGGAAGCGGCCATGTATCGAGGCATGGGCCCCTCGGTGAGGCCGAAACCAGCTGCATGCAGCAAATTTCGTGACCCCCCCTTTCCCAATCCCCCCCTTTCGTCCGGCCCGAAAAGCGCAAATCGCTCCGATGATCGAAGACCCGGAGACCGGGCCAACGCCGATCCAATCGGCGGATCCGCGCTCCGCAGTCCACGCTCGAGGCCCGATCGACGGACGAAGGCCGTCCAGGGTCGGGGCCCTGTTCGTCGCAGCCAGCGCGTCGAGGTCGCCCGCCAGCCGATGGATGAGGTCCGCCGGCCTCAGGCCACGCACGGCCTGCTGCAGCGCGGCCATCCAACGCTGCGCCGAGTCCATGTCCCGGAAATGGATGCACACCCGGCGGCCTGTCGGGGGGTCTGAGCGCAGGGGCAGGTGGAGGCGGCGGAGGCGGATGTGAGGAAGTGGGGAGATCCGGAGATGAGGATGACGACGGCTGCCCCTGAGCAGCGTTGGACAGGTCACATGCGCAGCTGCACTCTCGCGTCCCTTTCACTCACCCGCTGCTCGCTGTGCACACTGACCCACATGTGAGATCCTACTGTGCGCCATGAATTTTCGAGCTCAGCTGCAGCTGCATTCAAGATGACATCCAGGGTAATCTAAGTCTAGCTCCAGTTGCGGCTTCAGCTTCAGCTTCGGTTGTGCAATTACCTGCTGCTTGCCACTCCAGTTCAACTGGTTGGTTGCGGACTAAGCTCTTCGTACATTCGCCGCCAGGAAGCTCTGATATTCAACCAAGAAATACTGCAACAGCAGGAACCGTCAACATACGCCATGACGTACTCAGCCTACCTAGCTCTAGCTCAAGCATTTCTTTCGGTGGAAAACTCCTCGGCGTCGCTAGAGGGCCGTAGAGGACTACTAGGAAGCACCTGAAGCTGCTGGGATGGCGGCTAAAGAGCCATCGGAATCGCATGGAGGCCTAGGGATGGGCTCCTGGGAAGTTCCTGGGAAGCTTCCAGGGGCACTAGCGCCTCCTTGGAAGGCCCCCAGAAAGGGTCGAGAAGTCAGTGGGTTCCTGGTAAGCTTCTGGGGCATCCCTGAAGCCTCGGGCCACTGGGAGACCCTTGCGGGAGACCCTTGCGTTACAGGCGGGCTCATGGAGGTCACTGGAAATCCTGAGAGGCTTGTGGGGCAAATGGGCTCGTTGGTGGAAGCAGATGCCAGTGGGTCCTTCGGAGTCCTTCGCCACGTTCCTGCACCATTTGCCCTGGGGCACTGGTGGTCCTGGACCATCCAGGCCCCACCAATGGCCGCCCTCGGAAGCAGCAGACGAGACTGTCCCAGTGGCGGCGCTATCGATACAAATGGGGACTAGTTACCCCACTGGCCTGAGAGTGGCAGGATGTCGACGTAGGCGGTCCACTCCCCGTCAAACTGGTGCAGCCTGCGATGCAAGCTCAGCCGAGCCCCTCCGACCACCTCTAAAGAATAAAAAAGCATAAGCATAGACTTTCAGAGCTCTGCGCGGATTTCTGGAATCGGCACGCCAAGGGGCTGCGCCGGAGGCGCCGCCAAGGGGGCCAAGCGCCGATCTACAAAAACCGCGCGGAGCTCCAGAAGTTCATATTTACACAGTGGCTTGTTCCTTCAACCTCGGCGGCTACCAGTGAGTCTGGCCCGCGCCCGACGAAGAGGGTCTGCCCCTTGAGGGCAGCGTACCTGTGCGTGGGCTTGCCCCTGACCTTGACCAGCACGAACCCCTCGACCGAGATGCTCCTAAGGGTGGCCCGCTGCTGCAGTCACTGGTCGCAAACCCGAGATCCCCCTTCATCATCCCTGGGGGAGAACGGGAGGGACGGAAGGGAGGGCGAAGGGGAAGGGGAAGTGGGGAGGAGGGGAGGGAGGGCGGGCGGGAGGGAGGGAGAGAGGAGGGGAGTGGAGGGAGGGGGCGGCGGCAGGAAGGGAGGGAGGGAGGGAGGGAGGAGGAAGGGAGGAGGGAGGGAGGGGAGGGAGGAGGAGGAGGGAGGAGGGGGTGGACGACTGGACCGTCGGGCGCAACAAGGCCCCCCGAGCCTGCACTGGTGCCGGCAGCGGCGACTGGCCAAGCTGGGGCCACGGCCCCAGGCGGCGCCAAAGCACCCGGCCACGGCGGCGGCGCCGGTGGCGGCAGCCGCCACCGCCGCGGTCGTGGCCGCGAGCACCATGCGCCTGCCGGCGGCGCCACGCGCGGGGAAGCGCGCCTGAGCCGACGCCTGTGGCCCGCTGCCCCAGTCCCCTCCCCCTTTCCCTCCTCCTCCTCCTCCTCCTCCTCCTCCTCCTCCTCCTCCTCCTCCTCCTCCCCCTCCTCCTCCCCCTACCCTATCCCAGGGCGCGCATTGCCTGGGCCCCCGGGGCCAGGCGCAGCGCCTCCCGCGGTCATCTTGGCATCCACGCGCGCACCAGCACCACCCCTCTCATTCGGGGGGGGAATGGTGGGATGGCAAAGGGGCAGGGTAGAGAGAATCAGCTCACGCAGCTGGTGGTTCTGGCGCCTCCTGGCGCCGGGAGGCGCCCTTGTATCGAGGAGTGGGTCCGGCGGCGGGGCGGAAACCAGCTGCCTGCAGCAGATTTAGTAACGCCCCCTTTCCATATCCCCCCCCTTTCGTTCGGCCCGACTCATCCTCCAGCCCCCTCGCGCGCATCCCCACCCCCCCCAGCCCGCTCCTTCACAGTTCTTCCAACAGCTCCTAGATGCCCCCGAGCCAACCACGACGGCCCCAAGAGGGCCCCAAGACATCTCCACGAAAAGCCCAAGACCTGCACTCCCCCACAGCACCAAGGTGGGCGGCACAAGACAAGCTCAACTTGGCCCGGCGGTCCCTCCGTCTCATGACGTCCCCAAAACAACCTGAAACTAACCCAAAAGCACCTCAAACGTTTCGAGGGCAAGCGCCCCAAGAACTCGCCAGGTGACCCGTGGATCATCCCAGACAGGCCCCAGCTCGCCCAAGACGGCCCGAGGACGCACACAAGAGAGCAGGCCCCGGGCAGGCCCCCGAGCTTCCGAGAACAGGCTCCAGATCGCAGCGTGACCGATCGGAAGGATGGCAGGTAAGGATGCAAGGAGGAGGAGGAGGAGGAGGAGGAGGAGGAGGAGGACCATTGGACGCCCAAAGTGAGGCCGAAGTTGGAAGCACATGGCCCATGGATGCGCACCAACGGCGAGGATGGGCCAAGAGGCCAGAATGAAAGGCTGCCCTTGGAAAGCTACTCATGCACATGATCATGCCTGACTGTGTTGAGCCGAAGTGGAAGTTGTTACGGCCCTCGAGGGCCTCGGGGACGGCGAAGCCAAATGGTGCGGGCCTGTGTCCTGAGGAAGACAACTGTCATGCTTCGCCTAATCTGCCGCCCAACGAACAAGGCTGTCACATATCAACGCTCTCTGGCCCTTTGGGAAGACCTTACGCGTCACGGCATCCTCCGAAGTCGAACAGCGGAGTGACACGTGCTGGAAAAAAGTGGAGCGAGACGTGTCACGTGTTCAGACCAAGTGGGCGTTCAGACGCACAACGTCGTACGCTGCGTCGGTGTCGGACGATTGGGCAGGAACGTGCGCGGTCCTATCGAGCCCGCGCAGGAGAGCTCCAACTCAGCATGACCATGCATGGCATTCTGAGCAGATCCCCTGGGGACGACAAGCATAGTGCTGCATGGGCACGGCGGCTGGACTTGTCACTTGTCGTAAGTCGGGCGTGTCCCTCTACAGGAGAAATATTCACAAATAATAGCCAAAACAATCATATGAGGACGATGTTGTTCTACCATGTTTGACATGTCGGGAATATGTTTTGCGAATTGTTTTATGTTTGCACAAGATCCACCTGTAGGAGGACATGCCCGACCTAACACTTGTCACAGGTGTCTGGAGGACTCCCCGACTGTGAACGCCGCTGGCCGCCGGTGAGATCTGGCTTAGCACCGCTCGGCTGAAGGGCCGTGCCAAACCTCGTCTGGCTTGTGCAGTACTAGTTGAGCTTGCCGAGCACGTAATAGTTAGTGGCATGCCTGCTTAGCTTTAGGGCAAGCTCAGCTCGGCTCGGCTTGCCGTAGTTTAAGACGTGTTTAGGCCATAGCCTGCACTAGCTTACTCCAGCTTCGACTCGCGTAGCGCTGCTTGGTTTCGCGTCCTGGCTGGGCTTGCAAGCCTGGGGTCGGTCGCATATATTGTGTGTGCCGCTTACTGTGTCCAGTTATCACTGCCATAACCCAACGGAGCTGTTGCAAATTCGGGTTGCCTCGTTCAGCCCAGCAGGGCATGGCCCAGCCTTGACTTGCCAGTCAGCGCCTAGCAGCGGCCACATTGGCCTGGTTCGTCCTGGCGTATCCTAGCATGTCCGAGGAACGTTTCGCTTTACTTGGCTGGGCCTGGCTCAGGTTCGAACAGGAAGGACTGTAGGAGAGGAAATGGCACATAAGGGAAGCAACGCAGATGACAATATGGATCCGAGGGCAGCGATGAAGAGAGGACAGAATAGAAACAAAAATAATGAACGCGTGCGAGAGGAAACGAAAGGGAAGGATAAGAGAGGGAGAAACAGAGAGGCGAGGGGAGAGGAGAGGTCGGGTACGATACTCAAGGAGTGGATACAAGATGCGGCGACTACGCGTATACACCCCCTAATGCACACACTGATCCTCATCCCACTCGTACTTCTGGGTCCGGGTGCACACCTATGCAGGTGTGGCTTTCAGTGGGTTGATCATCTGCAATTAGTCTGGCTTGGGCCTCGGACCGACCACACAATAGACGCTGCTGTGTTACATGGCCCGCTTTGTGACACGTGGGGTTCCACAAGAATGCTGCAACTTGCTACGGACGTCTCCTGCGTGACCACCTCAGGATGTCCCCACGTTGTCAAACACACGGAAAAGATAGCGGGAAGGATAGAGAGAAAGAGAGAGAGAGAGAGAAATAGAGAGGACAACACATAATGAATAAACAAAACAAGAGAGAGAGAGAGAGCAGAAACAACACAATAGAGAGAGAGAGAAAGAGAGCGATGAAGACAGAACACACAGGAACAGGCCGAAAAAAAGAAAGGGTGCGTATATGCCCTCGCTCCACGCTGCAGGTAGCGTCTGGTCCTGCTGCCGTCCCAGCCCACCAGCGCCGCCTGGCCGGTGCGGCACTGGGAATCGGGGGAGAACCACAGACACCATCCGCCTTGGATCGAGAAGGCCACCCGAACATGTCGGAGGCGGAGTGGACGGGTGCGCGTGGGGAAGTGGGAGGATGGAGGGGGAGAAAGAAGCGCTTCGATCCTCACGGAGGCTCCCGGGCAAATGCCTATGATGGGAAGGGTGGCCGAAGGAGCCCCCGAAACCGCGATGGACCTCCAGGGGGCTCTCAGAGGCACCTCCTACCCCGAGAGACAAGAAACCAATGACCCCAAGCCGCTCTGGGAAGCCATAGTTCCGCTATGAGGCAGCTGTGGCGTGGAGTGCGGTCCTGGCTCGAGGGAGCTGCTACACAAAAGATGTCCTTGCCAGAACGCCAGCGCCCCGAAGGGATGAGGCCAATGCATTAGCTCCCTGGACCCTCCCCAGGCCCTACACTTAGGTCGGGCGTGTCGACCTACAGGCGGATTTTGGACGAAGAATAAAAAATAGCCGAAAAATATTCAAAAGATGCTCAAACAAGTCCCCAGACTATTTTTTACTATGTTTGAATATTCCTCCTGTAGAGGGACAGGCCCGACTTAACCCTACACACGCGTCCCAAGCCTCGCACAATCTGAGTTTTCATAATTAGCTGTCCTGGCTCGTCGCTGGTCGCCGCGTGAACGCGAGTCTCGTCAATTCGACCAGGTGTTCATTCGAAGACCCTGCATAGTTCGCCATGACGTCCCGAGATTCAAATTGACGTTGGCCCACATCAGCCGGGTACAGACGGAAAGGCAAAACGGGACGCGCGGCTGGGCATCCAACCTACCACACCCCTAGACCAACGGTCCGCCTGCCGCTTCTGAGGATCACGGGTGCGGCTGGCTCGCCAACCAACTAGGGACACATCATCTAAGACAGCACCCCTGACCCCCCAGATGCGTCGGCCACTTCTTTACTGCAGAAGTGGCGAAAGCTTCTGCTCGGCGGCCGATCGTGCGGCGCCTCGGCCGCGACACACTGCCCGGGCAGCGGAGCCTAGAAACGCGGCAGCAATGGGGTGATGCAACCAAAGAACTCTCAAGCTGTGGATGCGCAAGTTGTTCATGCCTGGCTCGAATTCATGTCGAAGAGTGACTTCCGGATTCGAGCCGCGGCGGCTACGGAAACGCAACAGATGCATGCGTGTACACGTGCACTCTTGCAGCACAGCATGCGGGGAGAAAGCGGTGAGAAACGAGAGACCCCAAGAGCCCACAGCACAACAAAAAGCATGAGAAGCTGGAGGAGTGGGCCGAGAGGGCTGCCGCGGCGAGCAGCGACGACGACGACGACGACGAGGAAGACGACGAGGAAGACGACGACGACGAGGACGACGACGACGACGGCGACGAAGACGAGGAAGACGACGACGGCGACGACGACGACGACCCCTGAACCTCCCCCGCGGGGGCATTCTTGGGGGAAGAGGAACCCATTGTTACCCCCGGAGGGCAGGAGCAGGAGAGAGGAGCTCTGTCCCGAGTCGAACCCCCCGGGCGCCAACAGCTGATGAGAGCAGAAGCTGCCCGGTAGCACGGGCCCTCTCATCCCCTAGGGAGGGGCTCGGCACACTCTTTGTGACGCAAAAAAAAGAGCCGAGAGGAAACGTCTGGTGACGGTGCACTGGCCCCCATACAAGCAATGAGGCGGCACGGGCCTGCAGGAGACACCCAGAAGCCTGGACGTCGCCCACTGCCGCATTCGGAAGTTTGATACACATTGCGCCAGGCAGGACGACTCAGAAGCTTCGGCAAAACTCTCGGCACTTACAGTCACTGGAGTGTTCACGTGTCCCTTGTCAGTACTGCTCGGTGGACGCTGTGAATTACGACTGTTCCCCCAGCCCGAAGCCCAGATGTATACATGCTACTCTTCCCGAGCACGTATGTACACACGCTGCCTGGCACAACCCCGCTGCCTCTCTCACCGAGGACCTCACCTCTCTGCGCCTGGCTCCTGGAACTCGCCCAGACGATGATGATGATGATGATGATGATGATGATGATGATGATGATGATGATGATGATGATGATGATGATGATGATGATGATCGTGACGATGGTGATGATGACCGTCATCATCATCAACATCAGCATCATCAGCATCTTCATCATCAACGACATCAGCATCATAATAAACAGCATCAGGTTCACCATCATCATCGTCATCATCATCGTCATCGGCATAAACATCATCATAATCATCACCAGCAGCATAACATAATCAACATCAGCATCATCGTCATCATCATCACCAGCAGCAGCATCCTCCTCCTCCTCCTCATCATCATCGTCGTCGTCATCGTCATCGTCATCGTCATCATCATCATCATCATCATCATCATCATCATCATCATCATCATCATCATCACCATCACCATCACCATCATCATCATCATCATCATCATGCTCATCATCATCATCATCATCATCATCATCATCATCATCATCATCATCATCATCATCATCATCATCATCATGCTCATCATCATCATTATCATCCTCATCAATTCTGAGGAAGAGGAGAGATTTGACGCCAGAAATGGGTACGGGAAAAATGGGTACGATGCCCAACAACACATGTTGTCCAACACCGACAGCGAAGGCTGTTGGGCAGGCGGCCTTCTGCCTCGAGTGGACCAGGCCAAAGGCGGCATGGACAGCGAGCACGGTTCAAAATGAGCAGGAACTGCTGCTGGACATCGCACCCCGTCTTTCCGTACCCATGGCGACCGTGCCGAGGGGAGGAGGAACCGCCCGCTCACTCACTCATGGCGGTTGAAGGGTACTCCCGAGGCCGTGCACACCTCTCCTGCCCCTCCCCCGCAATGGGGGAGGGGCGGCGCAGGAGGGAAAACGGTGAGACCAAGGGTAGAGCAGCGGACGAACACCAAAGGAGAGGAGGCAGGGGAGCCTCCCGGCAAGGGCTGGGGCTGCAGCCCACCCACGCGCCCGCGGCCAGGCGCCAGTCCTGCCGGGCCGCCGCGCCCGCGGCGCGCCGCTCCCACGGAGGCCCCACGGGGGGCCAACAGACTCTCCCCGGAAGGCCGAAGACGGCCGCCAGACGCTCCGGAGGGCCCCATACAGTGGAGCTCGACTGGAGAGGACACGCGAGAGGACACGAGACCGTTCCGAGGGCCACATTGCCATAGGAGTGCAGAAGGCATGGGTCGCGAGACACAGGACACGAGGGTACCTTTGATCTGGCAGGGTCGACGGGCGAACCAAACTCGACTGCAGGGTAGAGCCTTGGAGGACCCCCCTGAGGGGAGCCCCCCGACGGCCCAAGAGGGCCCCCCCGAAGAAGGCCCCCGAGACGACGCCGAAGGCTGCCCCGAGGAGGCAAGCCTCCAGAGGCCCCCCGAGGGCCCCCCGGACCGAGACCTCGGGCGGATCGAGCTGCTCGACCCCGCAGTTTTTCGGGCGCGCTAGATCCTGGATCGGCGCCAACCTGGGTCGGCCAGGGCCCTGTCGCAAAGTGCAGTCGGCCGCTTGCTCCCAAACAGGTGTCAGCGCAGCGCGGAGCGAGGGAATCGGCCCCACGCGGCTCCCAACCCCCGGGCAGCCAGAGGGGACTGGCTGACCCCCGTGAGCGCTGACCCCCCCGTTGCGTGAGCCCCGGGCTTGTCCTGCTCGTCGGCCTCCAAGGGGCCGCATTTCGGGCCCCCACGCCATCAGAGATGCTGCCTGCCGGCCACGGGGTCCGGGCCCGCGGCCCGAGCAGAAAGGATGGCCCACCCGAAGGGTGCGCCCGAGGACCTGCGAAGGCTCCACGGAGGCCATCCGAGGACCTCGGAACACCTCCGAAGCCTTCCGAAAGCCTCTCTCTGGAGGCCTTCCGAAGGCTCTCCGAGGGCCCCCCCGAAGGCCCCCGGAAGGCCCTCCGAAGGGCCTGCGGAGGCGACGGCAGCATCGGCAACGGCATGGGCGAGCTATGGCCGCGCGGCCTGGGCGAGCCCGCTCCAAAAGGCGGATGCCTCCCAGAATCCCTCAGATCGCACCGCATCGCCAGCATCACCGCGTCGGCGTCCGTCGTCGTCGTCGTCGTCGTCGTCGTCGTCGTCGTCGTCGTCGTCGTCGTCGTCGTCGTCGTCGTTTCGGAGGCCTCCGGTCGTTCGATGGAGGCTCTCGTCGCCGCGGCTGGGCGCGGTCCGAAACAGCTGGCCAAGGCGGACCGCCGATGCATCGACGGCGCTCTGGCGACGCGGCCGGCTGGACAAGATCGGATCCCTTGTCACACAGCTCGGCAGCGTGCCCAGGGTGGAAGTGCGAATAGGGCGGGCCTGATCAGAAGGCTCGGAAGTCCCGCGGCCTTCGAAAAAGTCTCTCAAGCCTTCCCCGAAGACACAGCAAAAACCTCTCGGAAGGCCCGAGGCCTTCTAAGAGGCCCCGCCGCCTTCTGAGATGCCTTTCTTCTTCTTCTTATTATTATTACTATTATTATTATTATTATTATTATTCGTCTTCGTATTCTTATTATTTTTCTTTTTCTTCTTCTTCTCTTTCCCCCCTCCCCCCCCTCGCTCGCCGCCGAATAACATCGCCGATGCATCGGCAATGTGGTGTTATCCAGGGGCAGGATATACTGCTGCACTGCTCTGACGTGGGGAAGGGAAAAAGCAGGCGGACGCGAGGGAGTAATACTGGCAGAGAAATACATATGCCCGTGTTGTTCTGAATGCATACCAGCTCCGCTCAGCGCCAGACCTCGCGTTTTCGTCTGGATCGGAATGTGCGCCGGTACTCATGACTTCTGTTGATAATCCTTATAGCATCCCTTCCACACGCACTTCTACACGAAGTGCTCGATCATACCAGCTTCAAAAAATCAAATGGGCATGGAGCATATGAGATGTACCTAGTTGAAGCGAAGACGATTAGAACAGTTAGGCAACCAAACAGCGCCATGCGGCTGCAACAAGGATAGCAAGTGATAAGTTGGTCGATAAAGCGATGGACGCCACAACGTGGATCGCTGTCTGTGCAAGCGCTAAGACCAGCAAGCGTGCGTCTACCCGAACACCCCGTCCCCCGTAACGAAAGCATGCAGGGGGGAACGAAGGCGTTGTAGACGGGAGGGGTTGGGAACAGGATGTGGAATTGGTGCCTTCTCGCAAGGAGAGCTCCGAAACCGCCACGCCACATGACAGAAGACATGAAACATACATAAAGAGAAAGGGAGAACTACAAAGAGGGAGAGAGAGAAAGAGAAAGAGACAAACAGAACGCGACGGAAAGAGAGAGAGAGAGAGTAAGAGAGAACACTAAAAGGGGGAGAGAGAAAGAGAAAGAGATATAGACAGATATGTAAGACAGAGAGAGAGAGAGAGAGCGAGATAGGGGGAGAGAGAGAGAGAGGGAGGGAGAGAGAGAGAACGAGAGAGAGAGAGGGAGGGACAGAAAGAGAGAGAGAGAGAGAGAAACAAAAAAAAGACAGAAAGAGGGGAAGGGACAAAGAGAGAGAGAGAGAGAGCGAGAACAAAAAGAGCACGGCATCTCCGCTGGAATTGGAACTCCTTCACCGGGCACTCCTGGCAGAACGCCTCCCCTGCCATCCGACCTCGCTGCAAGGCAAGATCCGCACCTGCCCCATGCACGGCTGCCCATACGATGGTTGGCTGACCAATGGAGCCTTTCGACACTCATAAGCGTCGCATAACTTCCATGAGCTTCCAGGAAATGCTGAAGGCGTTGTAACCGAAGCAACCCGGTGACTTCGATGGCGTTCGACCCACAAGAATCTCAACGTGCCAGGGTCCGACTGACTGTTGCTGATTACATTTAGGTCGGGCATGCCCCCCTACAGGGCGATTTGGGATGAAAAATCAGACCCCCCCAAATATTCAATCATACTCAAATATAACCCATACAACCCCCTCCCCCCCCCAAAAAAACGTCCTCAGACTATTTTTACGATGTTTGAATATGCCTCCTGTTGAGAGACAGGCCCGACTTAAGACTACATGCCTACCACGCTGCCCTGCTGTCCGAATCACGTGCCTGGCCCGCTCATTTCCAGCGAACTGCTGCCACGTGCCGCTGCCTCTCTGCCGCCCACGGCGCCGAATTATGAATGTCGTGTTCCCGGTGGCCCCTGGATACGTGAAGGCCCCATTCTCTGGCTGCGCTAAAATGTTCTTCTGTATGTTGGTTAAGTGTTCCTAGCTGCAGAGAACAGATAAACATTGAGCATGAAGTCTTGGAGCGGAACAGGCACATACTCATCTAGCGTTCGAACGTTTATGGATATATGTATATACATACACATACATATATATACATATATTTATACATATATATATGTATATATATATGAAAAACACGACATGCAACTGCATATATATATATATACTAGAACCACGCGCGCGCTTCGCGCGCGCTTAGGTTCTGTCGAGTCACAGACCCAGGAATCGTTGCGAGAAGAAATTGGTGACGCGAAGCGTCTTGGGGGCGTCCTTGGACGTCTGGGGTCTCCTGGGGCCTCTTGAGGGGCCTCCTTGGGGCCTTCTTGGGCTCCATCTGGAAGCCAAGATGGATGCAACAAGAGGGTGCTTGGGCTCTCCGTGAGCTATCCTCTGGTTTTCATTCCCCTGGAGAGGAGAAGGAGGAGGAGGAGGAGGAGGAGGAGGAGGATGAGAAGGAGGAGGAGGAGGAGGAAGATGCAGAGGAGGGAGGAGGAGGAAGGAGAGGAGATGTTGGGGCGCTCTTGGGGCCCTCTTGGGCTCTGTTGGGGTTCGTCGGGGCCCTCGTGGGGCCACCTTGGGCTCCTCTCGGAGCTCCAAGAGGAGCCCACAGAGGGGCCCAACATCGGTCACGCGAGAGCTCTTTCGCGTGACCGATGTTGGGGCCCTCTTGGGGCCCTATTGGGCCTCCTTGGGCCCTCTTGGGGTCTCGACGGGGCCCTCGTGGGGCCATCTTGGGCTCCTCTCGGAGCACCAAGAGGAGCCCAAAGAGGGGGCCCAACATCGGTCACGCGAGAGCTCTTCCGCGTGACCGATGTTGGGGCCATCTTGGGGTTCCTTGGGCCTCCTTGGGCCCACGTGGGGCTCCCTCGGGGCCCTCGTGGGGCCATCTTGGGCCCCTCTTGGAGCTCCAAGAGGAGCCCAAAGAGGGGCTCAACATCGGTCACGCGAGGGCTCTTCCGCGTGACCTATGCTGGGGCTCTCTTGGGTCCCTCTTGGGCCTGCTTGGGTCCTCTTGGGGTCTCGTCGGGGCCCTCGTGGGGCCATCTTTGGCTCCTCTCGGAGCTCCAAGAGGAGCCCACAGAGGGGCCCAACATCGGTCACGCGAGAGCTCTTCCGCGTGACCGATGTTGGGGCTCTCTTGGGGCTCTCTTGGGTCCCTCTTGGGCCTCCTTGGGCCCACGTGGGGTTCCCTCGGGGCGCCCTCTTGGGCCCGTCTTGGGGCCCTCTTGGGCCATCTTGGGCGCCTCTTGGGCCGTCTTGGGGCCCTCTTGGGCTGTCCTGGGGCCCTCTTGGAAGCTTCTTGGGCCGTCTTGGGGCGGTCTTGGGCGCCTCTTGGGCCGTCCTGTAACGTCGGAAAGCCCAAAAGACAACTTTGTTGAAAATGTACGTTTTACGAAGGGAATGGGCCAATTTTTGCGTCGAGGGGCCCTCTTGGGACGCATGTTGGAGGCTTCTTGGGGCCTCTTGGGGGCGTCCTTGGACGTCTGGGGTCTCCTGGGGCCTCTTGAGGGGCCTCCTGGGGGCCTCCTGGCGGCCTCTTGGGGCGGAAGGCTCGAGCTTGCGGTTCGTGGTCCCCCTCTGGGCCCCCTCTTGGGCCCGTCTTGGGGCCCTCTTGGGCCATCTTGGGCGCCTCTTGGGCCGTCTTGGGGCCCTCTTGGGCTGTCCTGGGGCCCTCTGGGAAACTTCTTGGGCCGTCTTGGGGCGGTCTTGGGCGCCTCTTGGGCCGTCCTGTAACGTCGGAAAGCCCAAAAGGCGACTTTGTTAAAAATGTACGTTTTACGAAGGGAATGGGCCAATTCTTGCGTCTAGGGGCCCTCTTGGGACGCATGTTGGAGGCTTCTTGGGGCCTCTTGGGGGCGTCCTTGGACGTCTGGGGTCTCCTGGGGCCTCTTGAGGGGCCTCCTGGGGGCCTCCTGGCGGCCTCTTGGGGCGGAAGGCTCGAGCTTGCGGTTCGTGGTCCCCCTCTGGGCCCCCTCTTGGGCCCGTCTTGGGGCCCTCTTGGGCCCCGCCTCTTGGGCCTTGGGGCCCTCTTGGGCTGTTGGGGCACTCTTGGGAGCTTCTTGGCCCGTCTTGGGGCGGTCTTGGGCGCCTCTTGGGCCGTCCTTGTCGGAAAGCCCAAAAGGCAACTTTGTGAAAAATGTACGTTTTACGAAGGGAATGGGCCAATTTTTGCGTCTAGGGGCCCTCTTGGGACGCATGTTGGAGGCTTCTTGGGGCGTCTTGGGGGGCGTCCTTGGACGTCTGGAGGCCATCTTCAGCATCTCGGAGCCCTCTTGGAGGCCTCTTGGAAGTTTCTTGGGCCGTCTTGGGCGTTTCTGGGGCCGTCTTGTCTGACCGGGGAGGCCTCCGGCAAGCCCCGACGAGCCTCCGGGGCCCCCGGGGTGCACATTTGTGGTCGAGGTCCCGGCCCCGGGCCCCCGGACCCGGTGCGCCGTTATATGTATATATATATATATATATATATATATATATATATTATATATATATATATATATATATTGGAAAGCCTCACAACAGGAATCCGCTGGAGCGCACAACAAAATGATCATACTGGAAACTTCACACCAGGAATCCCTCGGAAAGCACAGCAAGGGGATGATGCTGGATATCCGAACACGAGGAACCCTGTGAAAAGCACGACAGAAGGATACTACCAGAAAGCCTCATTCAAGAAATCTGCTGGAAAGCGCCACGCATGAATTCATGTGGAAACGTGACATACCGAATCCTGTGGAAAACACCACGAAGGGATTCGATTGGACAGCCTCACAAGAGAGATCCGTCGGAAAACACAACTGAAGGATTCTAGTGGAAAGCCTCGCAACAGCAAACCTTCGAAAAACGCTACGAGAGGGCTTCTATGGGAAAGCCTCACAAGACGAAAATGGAGCGCACCAAACAAAAAAATCAATTTGCGAAACCCCAATCGGGAACAGTTGCAGGCGGGCTCACAAAAAGATGCCTTATGAGGGCACTGGAAAACCACAACAAACCAAAGGAAAACCCAAACGAGCCAGAGAAACCAAAGACAGATCGCAGAAAACAATAAAAAACGAGACACACCGACAAACAAAGGTTTGACTGTTACCCAACTTCTCCTCCTCCTCCTCCTCCTCCTCCTCCTCCTCCTCCTCCCCCTCGCCCCCACCACATCTCGCTCTTCACTTCTTCTCCTCCTCCACCTCCCCCTTCTCCCTCCTTCCTCCCACACTCCTTGCCCTGTTCCACGGGACGGGGGCAGGAGAAGGAGGAGGAGGAAGGGGAGGAGGAGGACGGGGGGGGAGGAGGACAACTCCTCCTTCCACTCCTCCTCCACCCCACTCCTCCATCCCACTCTCACTCCTCCTCCATTCCGCTCGCCTCCCCCCCCTCCTCCTCCTCCTCCTCCTTTCCTCCTCTCCTCCTCCCTCCTCCTCCTCCTCCTCCTTCCTCCTCCTCCTCCTCCCCTTCCTCCTCCTCCTCCTCCTCCTCCTCCTCCTCCTCCTCCTCCTCCTCCTCCCTCCTCCTTCCTCCTCCTCCTCCTGCTCCGCCCCCCTCGGGCAGGACAAGGAGGGGAGGAGGAAGGAGGGGGAAGAGAAGGAGAAGAAGGAGAGAATGGTGAAGGGTGAGGGGTGGGGGGCGAGGAGGAGGAGGAGGAGAGGAGGAGGAGAGGAGGAGGAGGAGGAGGAGGAGGAGGCGGAGGAGAAGCAGGGGGAGGAGGAGGAGGAGGAGGAGGAGGAGGAGGAGGAGGAGGAGGTGGAGGAGGAGGAGGAGGAGGAGGGGGAGGAGGAGAGGTAAGTAGTGACTGTTGTTCCCAACCATCCTGTGGTATTGGCTCCTGGTTTTGAACAGACAGCGCCCCGCGTTCCCGCTCCTCTCCTCATACCCCTCCGCCCTCCTCCCATCCCTTGCCTCTCTGCCCTCCGCATGTCCCCATCGTCGCTATATGGGCGCATGCATTTCCAGATAAATTTCGGCGCAACCCTCACACAGTCGATGACCTCATAAAGTACTCCACCGAAGGCCCCAGTGACAGGGTCCGCATGCAGTTCCGCCCCCAATCCGGCGCACCCCCAACACGTTTCGTGGCCCCACAAGGCACCCCAACAGAAGGCTCCAGTGGCAGGGTCCGCAGTTCCACCCCCAATCCGGCGCACTCCTCACACGTTTCGTGGCCCCATGGGGTGCTCCACCAAGGCCCGCAGTGGCAGGGTCCGAATGCAGTTCCACCTCCATTTCGGCACACCCCTCACACGTTCCGTGGCCCCAGAAGATGCTCCACCAGAGGCCCCAGTGGGGTCCGCATGCAATTCCACCCCCGTTTTGGCGCACCCCTCACACGGTTCGTGGCCCAATGGGGTGCTCCACCAGAGGCCCCAGAGGC